GACGGGCATAGCAGGCAGATGGGAGGAGGAAGATGGATGCTCCATCTTGGTTAGTGGGAGGGAAACGTCGAAGTATGCTGCCTGGCTAGGGGTATATGGATGACAACTCCTGCAAGACACGGTCGGCCTTGTGAAGGGGAGACTCTACAAGGTATCGCGAAGCAGCGTCAGCTGTGAGGCGAGGTGTGCAATGGCAGCGACAGCAGACACTGTCTGTACAGCCTGAGAGGACGGATGCGCGTGTCGGTCCATGAACAGGCAAGGAGAGGAGGATGACATGGGCTTAAGGAGCAAACTGGTGCAGGGGCGTAGGAGGAGGGCTTTGTCCACCCGAGTCCTCGAGGCCGGGTTAGGAGGTGAGCTTAGGCAAGAGTCCTCCAGCCAGGCTGGAAAGCGTGTGAGAGGGGTCGCGCCCTCTCGTTGTAGTGTAGACAGCATGCAATACAATCTGTACCCGACGGATGCCAAGGAAGGACTCCACCGTATACAAAGAACCATGGACGAACGGAAGGACGCGCCATGGGAGGAATTGATGAAGGAGATGAAGGACACAAGGAAGAGCATTAGCGAGCTGAAAGCTCAAGGAAACAAGACATACGCAGCTGCAGCAGCGAAAGCCCCGATGGCAATGCAAATCGGGCAAGCTATACGAATTGGACAGGACGCGAGAATCGGACAGGATGCAACAAACAACCTCCACGAAATCAACATCCACATCGAAAACGACGCCCAGCGAGCGGCTAACGCGACACACACAAACGACCATATCACAAAAAAGCTACAAGCGGCGGGAGAGCCGGAAACCACAAAGATCAGTGGCATCAGGAAGCTACAAAGTGGTGATATCAAGGCAATTGTCGCGGATAAGCTATCGAAAGACGCCCTCCTAAAGAAGAAGGATTAGGTTCTTATCCTAGGCTCCTCCGCCACTATACGCACGCCTACAGTGCTCATCGAAGTACACAGCGTGCCTAAGGAGATGGACCTCGACAACCCGAGCCTACGGAAGGATGTAATAGAAAACAACGCAACCTATAACCCAGGACTCATAATCGACAAGATTATATAGAAGAACAAGGCAGCTATTACTGCGGCGCGGGCAAACCCAGCACAGCATGCAAGCTCGGCTATTGTAGGCGTACGAACAGAAGCAATAGCGAACAACGCCATCAACAACGGCATTGCTTGGGGAGGCTATGTACTCGACGCCTTAAGGTACAAGGCAGGATTTACAGCCACGCAGTGCTTTAACTGCCAGGGCTACGGGCACGTCGCGAGGTACTGCAAAAAGAACGTCAAATGCGCAGTATGCGCAGGCGAGCACGACACAAGAGTGTGCCCGGACAAGACCATCAAGAAATGCGCAAACTGCAACAGAAACCACCCGTTATACAGTGCCGAATGCACTGTTCGAAAGGGGGCCCAGCAAAGGGCCCTTAACAAGAAATGGACAATACCACGCTAATACCCCGCAGAGCGCAACAAACTATATATGTTCTAAGCGCAGTTACACGACAAATAACAGCACGCAAGGAAGATAGCTCTAAAGAAGAGGGTGCAATATACAGGGGAGTTTAAGACATAAGCAGAGGAGCCCTCCTCTATAGACTCTATAACATCCACGGCTTCCACTGTACCTGCACCCTCGAAGAGACCCGGACCTAGGCGGCCGAAGAAGGTGCTTACAGCGGACAAGGACCAGCCCGCTATTAACGAGGCATTTGGAATCGGAAGTGGAACGCAGCCCGCCCAATTTACGCGACCCAACCGATTAGCTACGCTGCCGGAAGCATTATTACAGCTAGCTATATAAACCACGTACGGCGGAGGCGATTGGCTAACATTAAGCGGAGAGGTTCAAATACTATTATTACAAGACGACCTAGCCAACCAACAGATTTACGCTGAGCAAAGGACCCAGGTAGACAACGGGCAAGCTAAGAAACAACAAGAGGACACCGAGATGAGCTAATATTAGAACAACTAAACAACCTTACTATTATACAGTATAACGTCCATAAGAACTTAACAACTTAGAAGGAGTTCCTTAAAAAGGCGGAGAACGCCAGCCCGCAACCTATAGTACTAGCTATATAAGAACTGTAGAGGAACCCACGCAGGCAGGAGCAGAGGCAGGGGCATATAGTGCATACAACGCATATAATAAAGTTATACTATTTACTGCACGCAGGAGAGGAATATATAAAAGCCTGTATATATATTAATAAACAACTAGATATTAATAAGTAGTCGGTTATACACTACTTACTAGATCTTAACACCTTTTCCCTTTGCGCAGGGGGAGAGAGGATCTATATTTATAACATCTATAACCCGAACCCTAATAGTATTATATAGGAACTACCCCTACTGCTAAATAATACTAAAGCGGAATATATTCTTATCGGAGATATAAACCTACACTATCTGCTATAGGAAGGAGTTTAAGTTGTGCAAATCGAGGAGTAAGCAGAGGAGCTCCTCCGCATCACGCGCGAAGCAGGTATAGACCTAGCTATAGAGGAAGGGCTAGAGATATAGGTAAGAGGAATATTATAGTCTATAATTAACCTTACGTTTATAATAGGGTAGCTAATAGAACAAATAATTTCCTCTATAGTATAAGAGGAATAGAACTGCGACTCTAATTACCGGCCTATATATATAGAGTTCGATATCTTACTACTAAAGGCAGCCGAACCCCTGCAGTATATGCTATAGAAGGATATAGTATAGAAAGAAGTATAAAAGAACCTAGCAATACGGCTAAATAAGCTAGAAACTCGGAACAACCCGCAGGAGACGGAGGAAAATCTTAATATATTTGCACACCGCCTATATAAGTATATATAAGCTATAATAGATAAAACTATACCACTTATAAAGCCGTTAAAATAAGCATTACCTATATAGTTAATAGAGTGCACTAAGAAAGTACGGGAGATAAGGCGGGCCTATAAGACCTAGCGCTTATTAAAAATAGTAGAGGACTAGATTTCGTATAGAGTACAGTATAATAGAAAGAAGAGGGCTATATATAAAGAGAGTATAAAAGTATAGCACCGCGCAGTAGATAAGATTACGTTAGATCTAAAAGGTGTATAGAAGCTAGCTAAATAGGGCAGAACTATTAGAAAGGAACTACGGCCACCGCCTTAATTCCCCTTTTTTTTACGGCCTAATAACGCAACGCTTTATATAGATAATAAGACTAAGGCCTAAATACTTGCGGAATAGTTTTTTCCACCCCCTATAGAGGCAGACCTTTCTAATATTAAAGGATACTAATACCTAGAGCCGTATAAGTCCTTATAAAATATTACAGTAGAAAACGTCCTCTCCGCGCTAATAGGAATAGCCCCGGATAAGGCCCCGGGTATTATAAAGATAACTAACAGGATCCTTAAGAAATGCGAAACGCAGCTAGTACTAACGCTAGCTAGGTTTTTTACCAGGTGCATATATATAGGGCACCACCTACAGCTATATAAAGAATTAATTACTATAGTACTACGCAAGCCTTAGAAAGCGTTCTATAATACAGCGAAGTTGTACAGGCTAATTGCGCTGCTAGAAATAGTAGGCAAGCTGCTTAAACGCATTATAGCACGAAAACTATCTAAAATAGCAGAGGAGAAAGGCATGCTCCTACCGAGCCAAATAGGTGTAAAGCCTAAACGATCTACGCAGATAGCACTAGAACTTCTTACGGAATAAATATAAACCGTATAAAAGGGCAACTCTTACCTTATTACCTTCCTCCTTAGCCTAGACATTTTAGGGGCCTTTAATAGAGTATTTTATAAAAAAATAATATATAACCTACAGGTCTAATATATATCGGAATAGATAGTCTAATTTATAGAATTATTCCTATAGGACTAAACTATAAGACTCTCTATTAGAAGATATATTGCTAAAACTATCCCGGTTAACATAGGCATACTATAAGAATCCTTACTCTCGCCGATCCTCTTCTTATTCTTTGTAAGCACGCTCCTGCCGGCACTATAAAAAGGCAATACAACAGCCTACGGGTTTGTAGACAACACTAACATCTTTATATTTAGCAAAAGCACGGAAGAGAACTGCAGGGCAATTAAAAGTGCGCATGTACAGTGCATAGAGTGGGCGAAGAAGCACAGTATAGTATTTGCCCCGGATAAGTATTACCTTATACACTTTATAAGGCGCCGTTTAAATGCGGTAAATATAAAGGCTATAGTAAATATCTAGGGCTTTATAGAGGGCCTAATTATAGAGCTCTGCGTGCTTAGAGTCTAGGTGGACTTTAAACTTAAATAGGGCCCGTATATATGCATTATAAAGGAAAAGGCTATAGTATAAATAGAAGCCTTTACACGGCTAACAGTATTAATATAGGGTGTAAGCTTCCAAAAAGCACAGTATATATACTTAGCAGTTATTAGGCCGGTCCTTATATATAGGTGCACTACCTGGTTTCCAACGCCAGGCATAAAGGAATAAATTAGCAAAGTAAAGATTAAACAACTTAAAACGGCCTAGAACTACTGCCTCCGTGCTATTGCAGGGGCGTACAAGACAATAGATATTAAGACGCTTAAACACAAGACCTCTTACCCCCTCCTAAGGCTTAAGCTAGAGGAACTCGCGGTGGCGTACGCGGACTGCACGCGCGCGGGCCAGGCTAGAGAGCATATTAAGACTATATACCGCACTATTAGAGACACTATTAGGAGACACTATAAGCCTAGGAAAACGCCTAAATATAAGCCGAGCCGGCGTAATATAC